AAGCGCGAGAAAAAAAATGGCCGCTCGAAAGCTGGGGGCGCTTCGCTTCTCGCCCCCAGATTTCGCACGACAATTTTTTTCTCGCCCTTTTCTCGCGTCACACTCGACGGACTACGTAAAAGAGGGACTACTCGTAGTCTACATTAACTGTCACCTGCGATTGCATGGATTCGTTGGTGTAGCTCACAGCCAGAGCCATGAGTGTCGTTAAATTGTCTGGCTGCTTTTCGAGACACCTACAAAAGACAAATTTACAAGTGAACTGTACTGCACCGTACTGCTCAGACTCAACAGGAAGGACTTGAAGATTGTTGTGGCGGCTCTGTTGCCGATGAAACAAAAACAAACAGATGCACTTACTTATTCAATGCTATTATAGCAGCTAAATCTTGCTCATTTTCTGCTTGGCTTGTTCCTAAATACTGCCATGCCTGCAACAAAGGAGGACATTACAGGTAAACATAAGATCCGACAATACAGTAACTCAGCAAAGCAAACCAAAGAAATTGAGACCTGTCTTTATGAGGCAAGATGCTTCCCTTTAAGTGCCCAGGTCCTTTCTTGGGGGTCTCAATGGGGTTTAACCAATAGCCGTAAGAGGACCAAAAATTTAACCGTTAGGCGTAAAAAAGCTTAAAATTTAACCGTTGTGTAAAACAAATTGAAAACAGGTAACCGTAAAAAAAGTATTAGCGCAAATTTAAGGTCTCAAATGTCTTGTAAAGAACTCCATTTGCGTATCATGATGATGATTTAGCTGTTGAATCGGAAGAACTGGTCATTAGTAGAGCGGTGACAACGAGGTCAGGGAACCTGGCAGGTCAAGGCGTGGACACCTCACTTTGATGTTTAAGAGAGGGTAAAGCAGTAAGGCTCACCAAAAATGTAAAAAGAAGCATGATAATCATCATGTCAAAAGAACAACAAGAACAACATGTTTATAACGCCTAACCACATGCAGACAAATATACAGTCGAACTTCCTGTAAGCGACCACCCAAAATATGAAGCCTAGGAGGTCGCCTACGGGAGGTGGTCGCTTACGAGAGCTTAGACCATATTGGGTCAAAATTTTGCCTCATCAGCATATGGTAACTGCAGAGACTTACCCCATGCACCAATGCCCATCTGAACCCATGTGACAACTTTTAATTGGCAGCCATTTATGAAAAAGGTGTATATACGTCCTTGGGGGTCAAAAGGGTTAATAGCACTCTACTGCGCCTGCCTACGTTGTTGATGCTTGTGCTAGTGAAAACCACCCTAGCCTTAACAAAACATCGAACGTTTTCCACTATTTAGCCATCTTCAGTTAATAACAGGGTTAAAACTTGGAAGTCATATTTCGGGTATTGCTTGGACCAACAAAATATTACCTCGTCTCAGACATTTTTTTTTCGGTCCCATGGTACAGAGGAATGTTTTAATGAGGTCAAAATCACAAAGCTTCAGAAGGTAAGACTTATCTTACGATATTCATGATCTTACCTCGGCATGCTCTGGTCTCTGTTTCACCTGAAAAACAGCAAGAGACGACAACGTAAAGTTTTTTTCCTTACAATAGGTTTTGTCTTGTCACGCTATCTTCGGAGAAAAGATTGCGTGACGCGCCAAAAAAAAGGTCTTCATGGGATAGAGGCTATTCTTTGGGCTGTCACGCAGTGAAACCGCGTTGCGCGATGAGCGCTGTGAGGGGAAATATATACCTATAAGATAAAGAGAAAACGGTTTATAGTTTTAACAAAATGTTATCCTGCGTCAAGTTAACTTCAGCCATGGTAATGAGAAATAGGATGTACATCACTGGATCGGATCTGACAGGATTTAATCCAACATAAATACACTGCCAAAATGGTTCCCTAAGGTGAATGGTCACACGCAATCAATACCATTAAAACAAAATTGTGAAAGAAATTATATGGTGTGTGTTATCTTCGGTTACTGAAAAGCACATAAACCAACGCTTGGAATCACATTCCTCTTACCTCTGCTTCAAATAATAAAATAGCACTTATCAAGTCTCCTTCTTTAAGCTTTTTCAGTCCCTCTTCAAACGGATTAGGATGATCCAGTAAGGGATTGTCCTCTTCAAACTTATATTCCTAAACAAAACATGATCGCACGTAGGTATTAGATAGTGGTGTGCACANTAGCGACTTGTAGGGGATAGAAGAGGAAGCTCTAGATAGCGATAGTGCAACAAAATGAGCCCGTTTTACTTACAAAACAACCGTATATATACCGTATTTGAACAAGCTATTATAAATCAAATCTTTGTAACACAGAGCATCTTAAAAGCAGGGGAATCATTCAAGTTACGTTCTCTTTGTTCCGATACAACTCTTATACGTAGGCTTCATTACCAACCAACTGTTCTGGAGAGGAACGAGACAGGGCTCGAGAAAGCGGTGACAATTCAGCCTACTTTGCAATGGGTAACCATGATTTACCCAACAAATGCCAGAAAACTGTTTCGCCAAAAAAACTTATTCAACAAAACTTTTGAGGAACTTTCATACAGGCTTTTTTCAGGCTGGCTTCCCAAAGAATAATTTAGTTGAAATGATGATAACGACATTAAAACCATTGTCTAAACTGATACCTTTTGTACATTTGCGGCTGATGTGAGTTCCTTGACCCACTCATCTGCTTCAGTTGCTCTGAATTTCTCGTACTCGTCAATCCACTCGCCTGCAGCTTCAGTATTTTCATCTACTTCCTGACCTGTCTTAGCATCAACTACCTGTAAACAGTAAAATGGCAAATTAAATCTCAGTACATGTCATATTTCACTGAGTATGCGGCAAGCTTAATACAGGACAACTACAACTTGTGTCAAGTCAATAGGTAAGAACTGGTCTGAAAACGAAACCTTCCGCTGTTATTTTGGCTTTTCGTTTTATTTGTGGTCTGTAGCTTGTATAAGCTAAAATATTCACCAACTCCAAAACTGGCGTCGAATTTAAAGCCCGTCCACACTACGGCAGAGAAATTTAAAAACGGCGTTTTCACTCTGAAAACGCACCAATTGTTTTCCGTCCACGCTACGCCGGAGAAATCTGAAAACACAACAATCATTGGTCACTTTGGATTTTTCTTTGAGGAAAACCCGTTTAGAGAAATCCCACCATCATCATGACGTCATCGCTTTCGAAAAGCTCCGTTTTCAAAACTTTTTCCGTCTACACCAAAACGCAAAGCCGGCGTTTTGAAATTCCTCCGGTTTGAGAAGCGTTTTCGAAAAGCTCTGTTTTTGTGGCAGATAAGTGTGGACGGTAGACCTAACCGTAGAAATAAAGCTGTGTATTTTGCCCCCAAATAACAATTTTTAGGTTACAACAGTTGGCTCAGGCTACTTTCATACCTTGACTATTTTTAATTTATCAGATTCTCCCAACTAGCACTACAAGTAAATGTATTCACACCAGTAAGGAGAATTTGTTTGTTCAAATCCGTGCTTAAATAAAGTATTCAACTCTTGAAAGCCATTATCAGGTTTTTGCTCTCACTGATTTTTTTGTAACTTTGCCTTCAATTAAAGAACAAAAAATGCCAAGACCAGTTTGATAGCTCTAAGAATTTACATAACTGAAACAAATTGTAAAATGCAAAGACTGAAAGAAGTGAACATGCCTTGTTGTTTTCAATTGTGTATTCCCCATCTCTTAGTTTCTTTACAAACTTCATAAACTGGAAAGAAAAACACCAAGAGAAACGAAAAATTCAGCATGACGATTGATTGGCAAGAGAATTCTCCTTACTGTTTGTAAAACCTCTTCTGTGATTACCCTTAGGAGAATTTAGTCTTATGATCGAGCTTAAATCGTAAAAGACATCTATAGTTACAATATTATAAGCTACATGTGGCAATGCTTCGCGAACTCATTAATAATTCACAAAATTTACACTAACAAAATCATAACCATGATGGTTTTTGGATATCTGATCTTAATTGGTGTAAATAGTTTTCCGTTTTCTCCTTTGTTTTCGTTTCGATTGAGAAGATATATCAAACATGAAAGACAGTGTTTGACCACATTTCCACACACCCTGAAGTTCATCAAAAATTCTCTGCTGCACGTCGTATTCTCAACTCTCTTCTCAGCGTTTGGAAATGTGGTCAAACACTGTCTTTCATGTTTGATATATTACGTCAAACACCGTCTTTCTTGTTTGATGTGCAGTATTTAATTACGTGAAAAATTAACAGGAATTAAAAGGAGAGTCAGTATAAAAAAAAACAAGCCCGCATGACAGCTTGACTGTTCTACCAATATTTTCTTCTTGAAGCCAACAAGCTTTTGTAAAGTCTGCTCCAAATTCCCCAATTGCCATTTCCCAACTTGCATGCTGGTTGTTGGTTATTGGAAAAGTTTCAACAAATTTCTCAAGTTTCCAAAATTTGAATTGCATTGGGTTGCAGGTTATGACATTTTTGTGGTCTATAATCAGATTGACCATAGCATGTGACCAATGAACACGCAATAATTCTTTCGGTATCATAAGTGATAGCCATAACATCACTGAGGGGGGTTCCACATTACTCAAAACAGAACTACTGTACATTGAAATGAGCATAAAATCAATCAATGTAATAACCTTGGAGTTTGCAAATTTTGGATCACCCGCATTTTCAAGCAGCTCCCCAGCAGTCTTGGAAAGTTCAGCATTTTCACTCTCTTGCTTGTACTCATTCACCCTGCAAAATAATCAAAAATGATACCTCGTTGATTCCCTCTGTCATTTTTGGCTTAAAAAACAAACATATACAGTCAGTATATTCTATTCAGTTATGTCCTATAATGGCTTGCTACAGCGAGATGAACATATTATATGTCTTATATACAACACCAGCAGAGATTTCCTTTCCGATGGAGTTGATCAAATTGTCTTTTGGAACACTAGCTAAGGATAGTCCATTTTAAAACTTTTACTTATTTTAATCATTTTAATCAACCCAAGATCAAGAATAAAATACATAATCTCGAAATAACAATTAGCCTTCCCTATCATGATATCTGCGCCCCCCCCCCCCAAAAAAAGAAATCAACAAAATAGATTGCAAACCGTAAACATTAAGGGGTTGCAATTTTTATGATTTATAAATAACAAAGCTGCGATCTCTTCTCTGAGAAATATTATCACCATGCTAATAAACTTATGCATCACACAATAAAGCTCAAGGCCTTATGTGATACCTGGTCACGAAAGAGATAGGTGAAGGTGATAAAGAGAGTTATCAAACTAACCATGATGCATCATCAAGAGCTGCATGTCCCATGTCGCTGTTGAGAAAAACAGGGAAATCACATGTGGTAAGTTATTGGTTCAAGCTACTATTAAATTAATGTTTTAATCAGTAATAATCATAACTAACTGCCAGAGGGATTCAAGCAAAGGAGGGGCTGCCTGGCAAAGATCACATGGCAGCATATGGTGGAGAAGGAAGCGAAGCAGATGGGAAAGACCTCAAGGGACATTCAAGTTATGGCAAATGACCAGCAGATGTGGAAGGATTGCGTTGCTATGCTTCATGGCACCAAGGTATAATGGGCATAAGTGAGTTAATCATAATTAGTACTAGAACGAGTTATTGCCTGGACTTGCTGAAACTACTCTTGGATTCCTGTTTAGGTTAATGGACGTTCAAGAGTTTTGCCTAGGTACAAGGTATGTATCATTCATTTAACATGTACATGTAGCTCTTAAAAGTTAAGCCTTTTCTTGAACACCGAGACATTGCCACCAAAACCCAGATGAGTATTTATCATTTACTAATAAAATAAATAATGAACACACAGCAACAGGGTTCATTAATTAACAGTCAAGTACGTACCTGACATGCTCTAAGTACTCAGCAGCCCACTTGGTCGGCACATCATGAAAACCTGGCACAGTTCAAAGTTACTCTGTTACAGGGCATGATTGCCCAAAACCTGATTAAAGCTATTCTACATGTACCTTGGATAACTGGATTGTAAACATAAAATAGTTTTGTATTGGTTTTCACTGCTAGTTCTTTCATGCCTGGTTACTTTGTCTGCTGACTTAGATGTAAAATGTGGCACTCAATTTCTTTGAATTGCTAACTGAGTTACATGGACATTGTATAGGGCAAGACTTCTTACTTGATCAAATTCTTATCTACCTGCTCTTGGCTGGAACCTTGCCTCCTGTTCATATTCTTTGGACCACTCTGCAATAAAGAGATCACTTTCAAACAACTTTAAACAGGAAGTCTTCACAAGGTAGCACTGGGAAAAGAGCATCTTAATTTAACTTTTAGTTAGTATACATAATTAAACTTGAAGTTAGTCAGATCTAGTTTTTCCACCTAATGAATTACTCAACATGATCTAATCAAACAAGAATGTACTCAGTATTTAAGAGAGTATATGTTGAGTGACAATTAAGTCTTGAAATTACCACATGACAGACAGTCATAATAGCCTTTAATTTCATACACAAACAAACCAACTGAAAGGGTACGATAAGTTTTACTTATTTGTCCTACAGTGCAGGGCACACATTCTCATAACAGTACAATACTGCACTTATTTCCCTTTCAGTCAACTAACATTAACAGCTATCTACCCCTCCCTACCTTCTGCTCGCTGGACCTCAGATGACATATACTCAGCGGCCCACTCACTTGATGCCAGATCAGCAATGCCTGGAGCTAATAATCCACAAATAAACAATTAATATTCAAAAACAGATGCAAATGTGATATAGGTTCTTGCTGTTTGCGCTTGGGATCTATCCTGCTTTTCCTTGCACACCAACTCCTCATTATTATTCAGAAGAGACTCTTTAGTTAATGAATTTGTTGACAGATTGACAGGTAGTTGTCCAATCAGTATTTCTCATTTCTCAGAAGCAGGAATTTTTGAATAACAAAAAACCACAGCAGGGCTGAAAAAAATTGAATTCCAACTTGCCAGGGACATCTCTTTCTAGTCTTAGTTTGCTCTTTTAATGATTTCGTTGGCAGATGACTTGCCTGGTCCACTGAAAATCGGGCAAGTGGGAATGAAAAGTTGCTCGCCCAGAATGAAAATCTACTTGCCCCAGGTGACTGGATGTTACTTTTTTTGACCACTGCTCAGTCTTTAGGACTCATTTTTTCCCCTTTCTTACCTCACTCCCTTCTTGTTTCTTTCCCTAATTTGCACAATTTGAACTTTTCTAATTACGCTCAGGACTTCAGGAAAAAAAAAAAAACCAACTACTCGATGCCAATTTGGCTTCATAGTTTTCTTTATTAAAAGTTTTGTCCTTTGGAGGCCCCCTTCCCATCAGAATTTCCAATAACCTTCCTTGGGATGAATTAATAGGCTGGATATTTTCTCAAACTGCACATTAAAGAACCCATATGTCCGAGTTAAGATCACACACCTCTAACTGGAGTATGATGGAGGTTTCTTTGTTCAATTTCTTTCATTTCATGGAGCAAGTCACCCATGCGAAAGGACTGTGGAGGCGCATGTGTCCTTGGATCACGAAGAAACTCTGACACCAACTAAAAACAAGTTAGACAAGAAAGTTACTAAAATTTAAGAATGAACTTCCAGAGATGTTTTCTCCCAAACATTTATCCTCTATGAGGTTCACATACAGTTTTGAAAAAAATTGGAAATCAAAAATATAATTATGCATTTTCTTATAAATAAGTGACTGTTGTTTTGTAAAGAACAGCTCAGAAGATTTTCACAGTATCAAAGACATTATATTTAGTATATTTTAATCACAGTCAAATACCTCTTCTTCACGGGCTTCATGAAAAGCTCTTTCACCCTGCAAAATAAAATCAAACTGTGAAAATAAGAAATAATTGCTGCTGTAGCAAGTATGTGAAGCTTACGTTTCCATGGTCTGACGTAAGCCTCATAATTAAACCTGCTACATACAGTGGTATAACTTTCATTGTCTTTATCAGCCTAAAGTGCTCACCAGTTCATTACATGTCCAGTGTAGGTGTTTTAAATTAAATATGTACAGCATCTTTGAATCTATTTGCCAAAGTGTCCAGTGCAATCACATAAACCATATTGAAAAACTTTTTTTCAACAGCCTACCAATTCTCTTGGAGGTCCAAATCTGTCTTGCACCAGACCTTCCTGTTGGCAAAAGAAATAAACAAATTAAGCTAAGAGTTAAAATCTCTAAGCGTGAAAATAAGGATAAAACTTCACTTTCTTTGTCTTTATACACTAATAGCAATCATAGAAGCATTTTTGTGCACCTTAGACGGTATAGAGAGAACCTGAAGTGAGCTGTGAAACAGGAGTTAAGAATAGAGGAGCAAGCAGTTATTTGATTTTTCCATTATGAAAATGTCCCAGGATGACAACGTAAAGGAATGAGGTTCAAAATGTTGTTTATAGCTGAGTTCTAGCAGCCCTTTGGAGCACCATAACTGTAGTCCTCAATAGAACAACGTGCATGCACAGAGATAGAAAACATTACAAGCCAGCTCTTTTTCAAGGTCAACATGGTTAGTGGCATGTAAATCGTGGGTAACAGCGCCCTACAATGACAACCACATGGCTGCCACACTCCAGCCAATAGGTCGACCGAGACATGCAGCCTTGGTTTACAGCAGAGAGTTTTAATATTGGACATCTATGTTTTGGTCAATTGACACCTGTCAAAACAAATAAGGTAAGCAGTGGAGGAAAGCAGACCAGTTGGCTGAACTAGGGGCTGAAGGAGGGGCTCCCGAGAGACAACTCTAGCTTAGTGGTCAAAACACTCTGGTGACCTAACCACTCAGCCACACTGCCTCTCTCAGGTTATAACAACATTTTC